GAGGTTAGTCATTCATATACTGCTGCATGGGATGGGCTGTAGTTACATCCTAAGGTTTTAAAAACTGATCTTAAATAAATGATTAGTGGTAATAAAAGCTGAGGGAGGTCAACAGTGATCACTGACTGTTTTAGGAGCTTTATGAGAATAAATAGAAGAAAATACAAAACATTAAACATGTTAACAACACAAAAGCCATATTAAACGCAGACTACTTTAGGCCCGGAAGTAGGATTCGTCACGTCATCACTTAACGACCGGATAGTGGCTTGTTTTGCTCATAATAACACCCCAAATCACACAATCACTGAAGTAATCATGGCACACATCACTGATTTTAACTTAAGTGCTAAAAATCTGAGCTTGAACCAAAGTTGTGTGCAAATTATTGAATTAAATAATCAGGAAAGCAAAATGGGGCAAAAAGCTACAAAACAAAGTAAATTTCCACCTTGTGCCACATTCCTTTAAAATGATGTAAAGCCATGCTGTTTCCAGGTCCTGACCTCTGGCTTTCACACTTCCCTCCTGCTGATCCTGATTTTCATGTCATTAGCTGAGGTCTGAGTCCTGCAGCCAGTGGATGCTCTCCAGGGCCTCTATAAGCTGACTGAAGCTACACTTCAGGGCCTTTGGCCATTTTTTTAAATGGTTGTCAGAGTATCAATGTTTAACCTCAGCTTTGCTTGCCTGTTTTTTGTTCAGCTTATGTTTCTGGCTAGCTTGATTTTCATTGCTAACCTGATTGATTTGCCCTTTTTTGCCTTCTGTTACTGTAACCTGGGGAAGTTTATAGGGAATTGAGGTGTAGGCTTGTAATCTTTCTGTTAATCAGTTGTTATGTGAAATGAGGTGAAATGGGGGACCCAATGTGCAGACTCCAGGAAGCAAACGTGAACTCAAACTCAGCTTTATTCCTGGATGAGAGGCAGAACAGAAAACTAAACAAACTCAAAATACAGATAACAAACTGGCAGGCCGCTGGACAGCCCCCACAGCGTCAAGTGATGGCGATCCCGACACAGACAAAGGAAAACACAGGGCTTAAATACACAGAGGGAGCAATCAGGGAATGAGAGACAGGAGGGAAACACAGCTGGGATAAATCAGGGCTGACGAGACCAAGGAAGCAAAACAAGAGACTTTAACATAAGACACAGACCTTCAAAGTAAAACAGGAAACATGACACAGATGCCGACTTGACACAGGGGAGACAGCAACTATGGATCGCAGACAGAAAACCAGAAGACTAAAACTCTAACAAGACCCACACAGACAACCTACACTTAGAATAATCCAATAACCCATAAGACAAAGAAAGCTAGAATATAATGAAATAAACATAATCAAAGAACCAAAAATACAAAACACTGGGTCGACGACCCAGGCACCCTAACATAAATCAAATCAAATTAAAATGTATTTCTATAGCACATTTTAAAAACAACAGTGTTGACCAAAGTGCTTCACAATCAGCCAAAAAAGAATGAAAATATAAAACAAACCATTAACAAACAAAACAGACCAACAAACAACACAGGTAACAAACATAAAAAAAAAACAAGCCAGATGATAGTCAAACCAGTTTTATTCAAAAGTCAAAGTTAAAAAGTGAGTTTTAAGACGTGATTTAAAAGACTGAATAGACTCGGAAGTACAAATATCAACAGGAAGGTTATTCCAGAGTCTGCATTTGCAAAGGCACGCTCACCTCTGGACTTCAGCCGAGACCATGACTAGAAGATCTTAGTGCTTTTTTGGGGTTATACAAATAGAGGAGTTCAGTTAGACAGCAAGGTGCCAAGTTGTTTAAAATTTTAAAAGCAAGAAAGAGGATTTTAAAATCAATGTGATATTTGACAGGGAGCCGATGCAAGTTAGCTAAAACTGGAGTGATGTGATCAAACATTCTAGTACCAGTTAAAAGGTGTGCAGCAGCGTTTTGCTGCGAACGACAGAGAGAAGAGTGGTTGAGGCCCAAGTAGAGAGAGTTGCAGTAGTCCAGTCTAGTGGTGATAAATGCATGAATAAGTTTTTCAAGGTCATTCAGAGGAATGACCTTGAAAAACTTAAAAATCTTGGCAATAAAGCTTTTCAAACAGACCCAAACAGCCTCCTCGTGTTCCCACATCTAGTTTTATGTTACTTCCCTCCAGCCCTATATCTTTTTGGGGTTGTAAGGAAATTATATTTACAGTCAATTAGGTGCCAAGACAAACCTCCCCACAGGGGGCAGTGTGGCTGCAGGAGGAGAGGCATACACCAGAATGTCTACAGACTTTCTCCAGTAATCAGCAGGCATTAGTTATCCAAAAGTCTGGGTTAAAGGGAACCAGCATGCACAGTTTGACACCATCTGTAAAAGTAACTCTGATTAAACTTGCAGTTTCACTTTGACGTTGATCATGTGTCTGTTACTTACAAGTTATTTTGTTGATGTCAGTTAAAATGCCACCACTGCTGCTGTTTCCCTGTGCTGTATAACTCTAAACCAACAATAGCTCAGTATTGTCATCTTTTTTTCAGCAAAACTTCTTTGCGGGGTTTTGGGTTTTTTTTTTGGTCTTCAAATGTATTTATTTCATGTTCAAGTGAGTATTTAAAGCAGCAAACCACAGCGTGTGTGTTACAGTGTGGCTTACCATTTTGGTTATTTTAAATAGTTTTTTGATAAAACTGAAGCTTCGTAACACAAAGTAATGATAAAAATCAGGCTTTAAATAAACAATTACAAACTTTTAGGGAAACATATTCAGTCACTATTAGATGGCTTATATTTGTTGGTTATGAGTAATATACAGAGCATAATAAAACAAATGGTAATATTATCATAGAACGATAAATCGTGAAGTATTTTAGTATGTTACATGACTCTAAAGTGACAAAATGATCAAATTATAACAGAGAAAGGCTTTTCCGTTATATAGACAATTACCCACAATACTACTCACCGAAAAGGCTCAGTCATTACAGATCATATCGGATATAACATTGAGTCCATTTTGTACATTTTAGTCATTCTAAGTTTTAGAAAGGAGGATTACTCAGGGCATTGGCTGACAGGTTTGTTAGTCAGTGAGGGTTCAGTTTAAAAGTTAGAGCCACAGCTTGCTCGGTCGTCACATCCAGTTTCAAAACAGCAAGATTACAAAGTCAAAAACACCTGAGATTTCATAATGAGCCTTGACAGACCAGACCACACGCAGAAGGTGGTTGAGACCACAAAGTTTTTAAAGGAGTGTTTATGAAGCAGTTCTCAAGGCTGGAATGTGTGCAAAGAAGTGACATTTATTAACAAAAATCTTATTAACAAATGACAATGAATTAAAGACAAAAGGCAACCTCAGAGAAATCTACCACCTTATGTCTCTCCAGCCTCACCTGCACCTCGTGCCACCTGCACAGGTAAAGAAGCTGATAACTTCCTAATCTGTGATGAGTCACCCAAAATATAAATACACATAAGGTTATAATCCTGGTTCCTGCTGACATACAGCTTAAATATGGGTACGTATTACACAGTCATGTGGGACTCTAAGCAGTCCTGTGAGATACTGAGTAAATCTTTACAGCTTCCACATGAATCAAATGGTAAATGGAGTTATACAGCACGTTTCTACTGTAACTGGGCACTCAAAGTGCTTTTTTGCTACCTCATTCACCCAATCACACACATGCTTTTTCTGTACCCAAACACCTTGTCTAACATTCACACACTCACATCCCAATGGATGTATCAGGGGAAACTCCAGTTAATAGACAGCCAGGAGTGTGAGCATCTCTACAAAAGCAGACGATTTGGCAGTTTGTTGGTCTGGAGCATTCAGATATGTGTTAACATAATGCCACAATATTCCCAGAAGTAAACGTCCCAGGAAATTCAGCCAGGGTCACACGGTGCAATGCTCAATGAAACCGCAACAAAAACCCAGTGCCAGATCTCGGGCGACAGATAGCATGTTAAATGTTGAAGTTCATGACAGTACAGTACTGTAACAGCATCTTTACAGGTCTACCTAAAAAATCAG